TTTGCTTATGAACATTTATTATTTCTTTGCGTACATTACACAACGTTTATATGACGATCGGTGCCCTAAGAATTTTTCACTTACATTTTGAACAGATAAAGTACAATGAATATCGTTGAGGATGACAATACAATGGCTGATAGGTTCCAATTTTACATGCGAAAGTATATTCACTATGAATTCTTAAAATTACAATCTAATTTTATTAAAAAATTCAAAATTTCTCGCCCTAAAATAGTTGGGGAGCTGAAAGTTTTGTGTTGGTTTTTCGTTGTTTTCGTTGCATCAATATATTACCGCAGTAATTCATTTTGTTGAGCTTATGACTGATTTAAAGTTGACACTTCAGATTTACGGAAGCTGTATTCTTAAGCCAATTTTTAAAGAATAGAGCTAATTTATTGTAGTCATTTCGTTTTTTCAAGTCATTACTAGCTAAACCGACTGGTTGTCAAAACCTGGGCAAAAATATACTGCACCTGAAAACAAATGGGATGCATTTTCATATTCAATTGTACGGAGCGAGTTTTTTTTCTGTGAAACCAAAAATTCACACCGGAAAATGAACAATATATTTCAAACGACATAAAACTTTGTGTGTATGCCAAAAAAATTTTCATTTATAATTGCTTACGCTAAGCTGCAGACAACAAGAAATTTTCATCCTAATTTGATATTCTTGAATCGCTTGCTTCTTCTCACTCCGGCAACCAGAGTTTTGAGTGTCGTCATGTAGGCCATTACGGAGAAAATGCGGATACGGTTTCTCTGATAAGGTCTCCGAACACGTACCTTGATCCGCTTAGACTTGCACTAGTTTGGTCGCACGTCAATACTTCTAGAGATATTAAGATTTAATATTATTATTTTTGATGTAACATGTAAATTTCGATGAAAAACTGCCATATATCTTCCAGAATTTCATTTGCAGAATGAGAATGTAAGGGAAACTGAGGCTAATTTTGAATAAGAATTATAGATACCTTAAGAAAATACCTTACTTGACTGAAGTCAAGTAAGGTATTTTACTAACTTAGCTGAGTTAGCAAAATATTGTCTCACAGAAATTCAGCTCAGACAGATCAGGAATTTTGACCCTGATTGATGAACTAATTTCTTGTTATATTAAATTCGTTCAAACTCTCGAATTATACAAAAATCCAAATAATATCTTATTTGATTGTCATTATAACGTGTTTTAGGGTCATAATTTTATAATCTGGATCTTGAAGAATGGTTCTGAGAAAACAACTCTATAGTTTTGTGCGAGTAGAAATTCCTTTCAAGTTAATTAATATTTGAAAAAAAATATTACAAACCGTTACTTTTGGTATTCACAGCAAAACACCAGCGTCCTATTTTTCTAGAAATTTCAATCCGCAGAAAGTAGGTCAAACGAAGCTCTGATTCAAACGGAGCTGAAATTCCTCTAAGTTTGAATCCGCAATGACGCTCGCCTGAATCGCCAGGCAGAACGCATCCCGGCGACGCTCGTTGCCTGAATACGAAGAAGCAAGATGGCTGGTCACGTTCAGTGCATCTTCAGTCAACGCCTCTGACTACCGTTAACTCCATTACATACGCGACTGTACTTGTAATTTCTCTGTGTAATTAAAAAATGTCTACGTAGCGTGTTCTTAATAAAAACGACTAGTAGCATATTTTTCCGATAATCAGAGATATTGAATTTTCGTTTTTCCGATAAGTTTTAGCAGAAATATTGAATTTTTCCTCAAATTTGAATTTTGCCTCTATCACTAGAATCTATCATTAACGGAAAGTCCGCGGCAGTAAAAAAAATCCAATACCATTAAGCATGAGGATAAATTTCTACAATTAATTATAGAATTGATAGGTAAATTACGATAGATCAGAGGGATGCAAAATATAGTACCAGTATATTTTACGGCAAAGCTGCATTTTCCGCACCTCGCCTTCGATCACCTCAGACACCTTTTATTCCCGCCACTGTACCGCCTTTAAATATTACTATGCTGCCTGCCTTATATGTAAATTTACTATGCCCCTATTTATTTTATTTAAATTTACTATGTCCCTTAAATTTAACCTGAAATGACGCTTTTATTTCCTAGCGGACAAGAGTGGTTGCCTATTTTCGGTTTACATCCTTCTGAAATTGTAAAGTTATACTCGGCGGTAAAGTTATATATACTACACGGTAAGCCGATATTGGTCAGAAGGTATCAGTCTTCAATATCCATGCTCGCGTCAAGCTTGCCGTATTTGAAATACGATAATATGATTAACTATTAATAGTATTGCGATCTCAGCAGTCATTGAGCCGTCCGACCTGTCGTCGATTCTGAACAGCGTAGGACATTCACAGCTTGCTGCGGGTCTCGTACACGCAACTCGCTGCTCCAAATTTGATGTGCNGTCTCTTATACACATCTAGATGTGTATAAGAGACAGGTGCTTAACCGCCCGGCCTCCTTACCGATTTGACAAGAACTGTAGCAAGTAGCTGGGATTGAACAAACAACTCACTGCCAGCTCCAATCTTGATTCTTGACCTGCAACCACTGGGCCACCGTGATGCAGTGCAATACAAATACCCAGATATGGTTCAAAGCGATCATTAGATAGTCCAAAAAATTGCTAGGATACAGTACATAATTTGTACTGTATTTATTTGGATGCCTTGAATTTTAGTTAAATGAATTAACTCTGCCTTGAATTCTAGTTAACACCAAGAATAACTTTCTTATAAGCTATAGTCTGTAGGGGCACCACATCCAAACTTGGATTGACAGATAAAAAAGCAACCACCCCATTCATTTAATTTCACGTCCATCTCATCCGCTTTAGGATACCTCCGTTATAACTCGATTCCGCTGTCGCTATTTCTGTGAAATAGCGACAAAAATCAGTCAAATCGGTATCAAATGCAGTCAAGTGTGATTTTTTCTGTTCATTAGGTCGAATAGAGAAAATTGCTCATTAAAAATACCATCTTGTGCATATGCTATTTTCATTATAGAAGATGCTTCAGCCTTGCATTAAAGTTTATTTGAGTTCTATAAATTAAGGAAGGAAGAGAAACCTCTAAATAAAATTTAAGGGGCATACTGGAGATCCAGAAAATATTTTATCAGTTTAAAATTGTTGGAGTCTTGGAGACTAATCAATGTCTCCATTCGATAGTAATTAAGGGTTGTGATTGACATCGCACAGGACACAAGAAAGAATCTTGTATTGATTATAGCAAAAGTCAGTGTATCTGAATGTTGTTGGTGGTCAAAAAAAGATGAAAAATAAAATGCTACCAACGGAAGCTGCATCCACGATCTTTGAGACTACGATGTTAAGTTAAAATTACTACGATTGTAAACATCCTAGGCGAGGTTAGATGGAAACAGGCTTGCTTCGATTTGCGCGCTAAGAGATATAAAAAATCATTCATAAAAATTTTGCTCATGTTGAACGAAAGGCCATGTGAATATTAATGTTTTGAATTATTTTCGTCTAATTAAGTTCACAATTTTTATATTTAGCATTAGATGGCAGAATTTTCTGGTTTATATGCGTACAATCGATGACCAGAGAATGCATTACAATTTTCAAAGAGTCTAACAAAACTTTAGATGACGTTGGTAGATCAAGAGGCAGGTTTAGCAGATGACAATAAAATATTAACGGCATTTTGATTGAAACAACATCAATTTTCAAGTTAAAAGAAGCATTGAATAATTAAATTTTGCTGGACATAAGTAAATGATACACTTAAATATTATACAACACAAAATTTCGAGCCAGAAAGTCCCTAAGCAAAAATCTCTAAGTTTAGACAAATTCGATATTTTGAAAATAGGTAGCTTGGGTCCAATAAAAAATTAGAAGGGTTTCAGTTTGCTCTATTAATGTTGTGCACCTCTGCGTGATGACGATGCTAGAAGGTTTCTCTATTTTACAGCACTTTTCTTTAACTTCATTTCTTGTTAGTTTGTCTGCAACAAATCTTATAATAGATATTTAACAAACTTCTACCTGTCCAATCGATCTGAAATTCCGCACACTTGCATAAAGTTGGAAACAATGCATGAATTTGTTGACTGGTTGACAGAATAAATAATTTAGATTTTTTTCAGTTTTAAAAATGAAATTTAAAAATTAATTTTTTAATATTTGGTAATAAAATTAGAAATTCATTTTACATGTGTAACATCAGAGACACTGGATTCTTTAGAAGTGTTGTCTTTAAAAACAAAGTTTTAAACGCATATTATTTACATTTCTGGACATTGCAGTTAAACAAATTGGTTATTAAGTTATTGACCTGCTGATGAGGGATGGATAGAGATAACTCAGAACACACTGATCGTTCGGCTGCTTGCAGTTATATAGCGTGGGTTGAAGGTTGAGATTTATTACTATTTTTAAAATAGTTTATATGTCCCAATTAGAATACTTTCAAAGGTTTTGTTGTGTATTCGTTATTGAAACCATTGTGGATGTTTCATTTCAATTGAGATTTGTCGAACTTAGCTACATTGTGTGGGAAGAGTTGCTGCGCAATGGTAGCAGTAGCTCATGGTAAGATCTATAATGTTTTTTTTTTCATTGGCTTTATTGAATTCACTAAGGCTTACCTACGGTGGCATGTTATTTAATAATCTCTGAGGACATTATAATTGCTTTACTAATGTCATATGTTTTGTGTTATCGCATGCGTTGATATGATATCAAATATTACAAAAAACATATTTCGCAGAATATTTCGAAACTAGATCGAAGAGGTTTAACTGAAGCATTTATCGTTGCAATGCCTTTATATTCCCACGATAGCATCTTCCACTATTCTTATATGCTCCACTATTCCACGTACATAACAACATCAATAGTAAGACTGATAAAGACAAATATGTTGTTTATGAACAAGTCATTGAGGATAAGACCGATAAACAGCTTGTAATCAGTAACAGTTTTCCCGTATCGCTGAAGTGCCTGAATGTTGACACATGAACCTCCATTGGTGTTCTCTGAATGCGGAATGTCGGACGTGCGGGGACGACTTCTGATCATAGCTGGCCTGCTGCTTTTCCTGGCTGCGGGGCTGGCTTTCATCAGTACGTAAGCGGGAGTAATTTTGAGGACTAATTTCATCGGCATAATTAATTTGGACTTTCGATCGATAAAATTTTGTACTTTCGATCTCATGAGGTCGAAGTTTAATCATAATAAGGAGCTTTCTTTGCGAAAATTTCTTTTGTGCCTGTCATTTCATACACGAAAACGCTCCACCTATATCAAAAATTAGTGAAATCATGTATTTTTCATGAATAAAGGCGTACAGAAAAACATTATGATTGAAGTTGTCACCCCCATCCGAAGGTATCCATAGCAGCAGCCATGTTTCATCCGTCTCAGAAATGCCGGCATCCGAACAACTGCAGCAACGAGAATCAATTTCTGACTTCATCAGAAACAATGTCAATCCTGAGAATATTCGCTCATACTTAAGGTGAGTGCAATCGGTTGGATATCGAACTTTATTATTTTGTAAACATCGCATATGACAGGACTTGTCGTGATCTATTTATATTTTTCCAAGTGTTAATGTATAAATGGTTTCGAGATAGAATGCGATTAAAAATAACCATTCAAAAGAAATTCTCTTTAAAAATGCTAAGAACGTACACAAAAAAAAAAAAGAATTTGGATATTATCTGATTCAGGATTTGAGAAAAATTTTTTCATCATCATATTTAAATATCCTCTAGAAATTGAAATATTGGTTGGATTTCCAACATCGGACTTATTTTTCTCAAATCTTCCCCAGGTTCCTGACTTCCCAGCCTCACTTAGGAGGAACTCAAGCGGAGTTACTGACCGCGGAGTGGGTGGCAGAGTTGTGGCGAAACCAGGGCCTCGATGACGTGCAAATGGTGTCATACGACGTGCTCATGTCGTACCCTCATGACACCATTCCCAACCTGGTACGCTAACGTGATGCTGTCGTATCCATATACCATCGTTTGTAACTTGGTACGCTCCGAGACACGGAGCCATCGTGTCCTTATGACACCATTCCTAACCTGGTACGCTCCGTGACGTGGTACTGTCGTATCCATGTGACACCATTCCTAACTTGGTACGCTTTCACGTGATGCTGTTGTATCCATAGAACATCATTCGTAACTTGGTACGCTCCATGACGTGGTACTGTCGTATCCATTGTGACACCAATAAATACTTGGTACGCTCCATGACGTAGTGCTGTCGTATCCTTGTGACACCAGTCCATACTTGGTACGCTCCGTGACGTAGTGCTGTCGTATCCTTGTGACATCAGTCCATACTTGGTACGCTCCTTGACGTGGTACTGTCGTATCCTTGTGACATCAGTCCATACTTGGTACGCTCCATGACGTAGTGCTGTCGTATCCTTGTGACATCAGTCCATACTTGGTACGCTCCGTGACGTAGTGCTGTCATATCCTTGTGACACCATTCCATTCTTGGCACTCTCCGTGACGTGGTGAACTCGTACCTTCGTATCTTGATGACACCTTATCCAACTTTGCACGCTGCATCAGGTGATACTCCCATACCTTCACTACACCGTTCAGCTCGCAGCATATTTGTTATTCCTCTATCTAAACTATCTGGACCAAAAGCTTTATATTCAACACTGCACCATATCCGTGCCTCATTTATATTTTTCGCAGTATATTTTTGGCCGGATGTAATAATATTTTTGCTTCCCGGTCTTCTACTTACATTCTCTAACATTCTACAAAACCTGAAATTAAAATTTAGAAATAAACATTATTCAACATAAGACAATAATATGAGATCGATTCTTGCTTTATTCACTATAATACTTATTTCTTGACAGCAACACACGATAAAGATAATTGTTTGTAACTAATCACTTGTCAGGTTCGCCTGGTAAGCACATCAACGGGCGCATCTCAGTGGGAGTCTCAGCCGAAGCAGCGGCCGCTGTACGCGNACCCGGCAATACGTGAGTACAGTTGTACATGGACGGTGTACTGTCTGTCTCTTATACACATCTAGATGTGTATAAGAGACAGGATCAGTAGAAGTGTATTAAATTTTGATTACAAGATTTGTAGCAGACAGACAGACAAACAAGAAGTGAAGTTAAAGAGAAGTGTTGTAATAAAATGAACATTATTTAACATAAGACAACAATATAAGGCTAATTTTTACCTTATTCACGATGATACTTATTTCCTGGCAGCAACACACGATAAAGATAACTTGTTTGTAACTAATCACTTGTCAGGTTCGCCTGGTAAGCACATCAACGGGCGCATCTCAGTGGGAGTCTCAGCCGAAGCAGCGGCCGCTGTACGCGCCCGAGGAAGGCAGCGACGATGTGCCTTTCAACTTCAACGGCTACTCCGCTCCGGGCAATGTCACGGTGTTTGTCAATTAAACTGTTCTGTACAAGTGTTTGGGGTGATGGTCATATCGTGCCAACCAATCAGTATTTAAGGGTGAACGCAGGTAATTGTCTAGAAACACAGTTTGTCGCAATTAAATGGGGGTGATTGTGGAGGGAGTCGGCAGTCGGTACTTAAGAAATTATTGGGGGTGATTGTCAAGGGAGACGGTTTGTAAGATGAAATTGGATGTGACTATCAAAGAGATACGGTTCGTAACAAGGTCAAGTTGCGGTGGTATTCTATGAATGCTTTTAATAAATTCAATATCGATTTAGTTCCAAAACATTAGTAAAGTTAAAAAAAAAACTAGTTTATTGCTGTTCAATCTAATAGGTATGTGTACCTGTTTATATAATAGGGTACTGACTAAAACCCGGTACCAAATTCGATTCCACCTTGACTCATAACAATTAATTGTGGCAGGTACTATGCGAAACCAAATCGAAAATTCAGTACGCGAGGTTCTGCTAAGATTATATTTACTTTAGGTGGATTAACCTGTTCCGTGTGAAGAACGTGAACGACCAAATTAGTTACTTGCCACAGCAAAGAAGTGAGCTACGAGATGGAGAATTTATTTGGGAAAGCCGAACGTACCTATTCCTGCGCAATGATAACTGTTCCTCAAAACCCACTTTTTCATTAAAATTGCTCACCGGTTCCAAGTATGGAACTTTAAATTGAGAAGAGATACTGGCATTGTTTAATATCGAAACTACTTTGCACTTCATTGAGTAATTGTTCTACTTAGTCAGATAGTGTTTCAAACGAAGAGTGTCAATATGTCCTTAATTAACTATCAAAGGGCGTGTGTTCCACGTAGATAATAGTTTATTGAACTGAGATTTAGCAACAAGAAACTTAGGGGAAAAATCCCGATTCAGCCAACAGCGTTTCATCTCAAGTTACAAAACTTGTTAAAGATTTGAAGCTACCACACGCGCTGTAAGCAACATGGAGCTTTAATAGCATCAGTAGCATACCGTACTCGTTCAACAAACTTTTTTTCTACCTGTTATACATGCTTTATATATCTGTTTCTCTAAATCTTACAGTTCGAAAATATTTTAAAGATTGCGTAAATAACTTCCAGTCGCTTGCGAACCTAGGCACAGAAATGCTTCTTCACTTACGTGGTTCATAGATTCTTTTTTACGCAGGCTGAACTGGTGTACGCACATTACGGGCGGGAACAAGACTTCGATTACCTTAACGCCAGCGGGGTGGCCGTGGCAGGTCGTATTGTGCTGGCACGCTACGGTGAAATCTTCAGGGCAAACATTCAGCGCCAGCCGTAGCATAATTGCAATTGTTTTAGTAAAGAAATTGTAAAGAAAATTCAAGATATTATCATTGCAGCGCCAGCCGTAGCATAATTTCAATTATTTTATTAAAGAAATTGTAAAAAAATTCAAATATTTTCAAAGCAGTACCAGCCGTAGCATAATTGCGATTTTTTAGTAAATAAATGGAAAAGACAATTCAACATATATTCATTGCAGCGTAAAACTTACGATAATTAATTTTTTTAGTAAAGTAAGTGCTGAAAAAATTAAACATATTTTTAATGCAGCGCCAGCCGTTGGATAATTGAAATTTTTTAGTAAAGAAATTGTAAAAAAATTCAACATATTATCATTGCAGTTCAAAACTTAAGATAATTATTTTTTTAGTACAGTAGGTGTTAAAAAATGAAACGTATTTTTAATGCAGCGCCAGCCGTTGGATAATTGCAATTTTTTAGTAAATAAATGGAAAAGATAATTCAACATATATTCATTGCAGCGCAAAACTTACGATAATTAATTTTTTAGTCCAGTAATGGAAAAAAAACAATTCAACATATTTTCGTTGCAGCGCAAAACTTTCAATTATTAATTTTTTAGTAAAGTACCGGGTTAGGTGATAAAAAATTAAACATATTTTTAATGCAGTGCTAGTCGTGTGACAATTTTTTTTTTGCGGAGAGCGATAGACTAGAAAATTAGATATTTTTTAGTGAAAACGTTTGGAAACAATCTATATCATCGGTTGAAATGTTTAACAATGCAAACATAATCTATTCGATTAACTGAATTTATAGAGTACAGATATCAAATCGGAAATGAACGTATGAATTCTTTATCAGAAACTGACAAGCAAAACAAAATAACGAGAAATCATTCTGGTAATTTGCGTATCTTTTTACTCGACAAGTGTTAGGACTTTGCAGCGATTTAGCTAATGCTTTTGTAATGAAGAAATCAGTTCAACAGAGGGTTTTGCACACTGTACCTCAACATATCAATATTTGCGTTCAAATCAACATGAATTATAATTTATATTACGTTTGTATGGCTTTATACAAGTAAATAAAATTATTTAAATATCTCTTTTCTGTCGGGCGTTCATATTCGGAAAGTTGATCGTTAATTAATTGTATAAACCCGGATAAATCAATCGGGCATATTGAAAAAAAAAAAATATTTGCCTCACTTTCTTACCGACACCTCAGACAGAGAACGGACGTAGCACTGATACGCCCTTTTGCCGTGCCAAACTGGGTCAGAATGACGCATATTAGGGCAAAAAGTGCCCTGGTATTTGGTAAAGTGCACTGGTAGGGCAAAAAGTGCATTGGCATTTGGATAAAATCTCACCCATTCCTCTGAATGTCGAGATTTTACTGAACTGAATGGTGACCAGGGGCCTTACTTTCAAAATTCGCTAAGTGAACGTAAGTACGCTCTATTACTTACGCTTTATTTTCTTCTCTATGAATGGTGGATTTTGCTCGAAAGGCCGTCAATGATTGGCTGATGAACTTACGATCTCTTAACTTTTTTTGAAAGTATGGGCCCTGAACTCTACTGAGCTAAAACTGAATCACCACTGAACGGGTGATTTACCCCGTTATTTTTGTGTGTGGCGTGGTGCAGGCTGGAGGCCCCGCAGGACGCTCGTGTTCTGCTCCTGGGCGGCAGAGGAGTACGGGCTCGTGGGCTCCATGGAGTGGACGGAGCAGTTCAGCAAGCAGCTCCAGGACCGCGCCGTGGCATACCTCAACGTGGACATGGCTATTGAAGGTTATTAACATATGCATTATATATAACAAGTGTTCAGTACATATGCATTATATATAATAAGTGACCAGTACCTGCCTCAACGTCGACATGGCTATTGAAGGTTATTGACATATGCATCATATATAACTAGTGACCAGTACATACCTCAACGTGGACATGGCTATTGAAGGTTATTAACATATGCATTATATATAACAAGTGTTCAGTACATATGCATTATATATAATAAGTGACCAGTACCTACCTCAACGTCGACATGGCTATTGAAGGTTATTGACATATGCATTATGCATAACAAGTGTTCAGTACATATGCATTATGTATAACAAGTGTTCAGTACCTACCTCAACGTGGACATTGCCATTGAAGGTTATTAACATGTGCATCATATATAACTAGTGACCAGTACCTACCTCAACGTCGACATGGCCATTGAATTGAATTTTATTATTAGAGGAAAATTATTTGTATTAAAATTATTCACCGAAAATAATATCGTGATGTTTTGCGCAATCATGATTTCGAGGCACGTTACTCATTGAAGGAACTAAGGAAAGAATGAAAGTGTTCACAACAACAAAGTAAGCAATCGATAAATGATGAAACTGCGTATTATATAAATTTATGTTTTAGAAACTGTATTTATATCAGAATGAGTTATTAAGTAAACTCTAAATTAGTTCAGCGAAAAAAATTAACTCGCCGCCGGTTAATCAGACTGAGAACTTCCTGACGCCTACGGGTAATTGTACAACCTCCTCCAATTGAAGTGAATTTCTCACTTTCATCCATAAAATACCCAGTCGAAACATGTCTGTTTTTGTTCTCATTGTGATTCGTTCCAGGCAACTATACACCTNGATTACCTTAACGCCAGCGGGGTGGCCGTGGCAGGTCGTATTGTGCTGGCACGCTACGGTGAAATCTTCAGGGCAAACATTGTGAGTTTCGTGCTTAGGCTGGTGGTGAATTTTCTGACTAGGGACTGTGATATCAGAATTCGTTTGAGTACACGTTGTTGGGGAAATTCCAATCTCTCAACGAACAAGCGTTCCCCGACACTTGGCACGTGATCGTTCTTCATTCAGCTTTTAAAGACCAAGGATTTTTTTTATTGAATAAACAGTTAAAAGCACTTATAATTAACGAAGAATAAATAGAAACAAAACAATAAGCCTAACACTCTATAAACTTACTCCTAACCCTAATCGTAACACAAATACAAAACCTAATACATTGCAACTTAAAAATTACTTATACAGCAATAAATCTATTTCCTCTACAACGTTACGGCTTATTTCTTGCCTGTGATTGATGGGTTAGCATAAATAACTATGATTGAAAAGCCATGTGTGGTTGGCTGACTGAATTACGAACTAGTGAGTAATTACTACTAATTACGGAACTACTAACTTACCAATAATGCTAGTAAGTATTTATGCTAGTGCTGACCCAGGATTATGGTAAGCAGACGACGTTTCATGTATTCATAAACATAAGAGTCAACGGTCGGTTTACTGTTGGCAACTCTGCTTATCAAGCTAATAACATTGTCATTAACGACGATCAGTATATCTGTTTATAGGAGAGTTGACACTGTTTACTAACGTTAATTCTAATTAGCAAGCCTATACAGATAAATGTATAGAGCAGACGACGCTTATGAATCTTCAGTTATGAGGTTGCCCTTTGTCTTCCTGATTTTAACCTTAAGACCTTTAAATACCACTGGCATTGACGACAATAAATGTTTATCTGTGGAAAAATAATTCGTTTCTACTGCTCGGACTAATAATACGAGAGGTTTTCAGAGCAATAAGCATCATTTCAAGCGGTAACACACGAATGAAATTTTCGAATAAAATATCAATGATAACGATGGTTGCATTTAGAGAATTTCGTTGCTGAGATGAAAAAAGGCACGTTTCATCCATCGTAATGATTAGTAAAGTCTTCACAAATATTCAAAGTTAGTCGATGATTTTCAAACATTTTTTTTATATTATAATAAATGATAATGAGAGATAAAGATGAAAATGATAATTTTTTGAAGAGATTATTGTATAATTAGGTGTTTTTTCTCAATGTAAATGGGTATTTTTTATTTTCATATTTACTATGACTTCTTATTTTTTTCTACTATTCAGGCAGATTTCGCAGAGCGTCGTGGAGCTCTGGGCCTGATTTTGTTCAGTGATCCCTCGGATTATGCGCCGCGGGGCAGCGAGGCCGTCTACCCTCACACCGTCATGATGCCGCCCTCGGCCGTGCCCTTAGGAACTGCCAAGCTTAAGGACGGCGATCCTCTCACTCCATTCTACCCGGCAATACGTGAGTACAGTTGTACATGGACGGTGTACTGTAATACCCCTCACTCCATTCTACCCGGCAATACGTGAGTACAGTTGTACATGNACGCTGACATCTATTTCAATTCTTCAAGATTCTAATTCAATTCTATCACCCAATTCAATTCTTCAAGTTGCGTGATATTCGGTGTTGAATCATTGGAGTTATCACATGAAAACCGTAGTTATGAAATAGTGGAATTAATATCATTAAAATTCATGCAGCTACTGCACCGTTGAAAAGCGGCTGAAATTTTCGAGTAAGATGATATTTGGTGTTGAATAATTCAAGTTTTTAACGAAAAACGCATTTATGAATCGACCGAAGTTGATGTTAAAAAGTTATTTGTACTAATACTCTGTCAAAAACAACTGAAATGACACTCGTGAAATTTGATGAAAAGAATAAATATCTAGGTTTTTGCAAATTTTCAAGTAGAATTTAAGAGCCAACAATACTAAGCCTATTTCAGAAGTGGCTGAACTGACACACGTAATTTGAATAGTATTTTTGTTGTTTTCAAGTGAATATATTTCTAGGTTTTGGGGGAATTTCCAAGTTTAATATAAAAAGTTATTCTTCTGAAAGGCATATGAACTTGCAACTGTTGTTTAATTAATAGTAGTTAGTACCAAAAATGCAATTTTGAAACGGCTGAACTGAAAACTGAACTAAAATTGGAAAACCTTATTACGGAATGGCTACACTGACATCTATGCCAGTAATATAGCCACTGCAGTGTTGAATCATTTTAGATTTTACCAGAAAACCTAATTTCGAATGGATGAACTATATAACATTTATAGAATTTATGAAGCCACTGCACAGTTGCAAGCGAATTAAATCATCGAATTAGGTGGTATTTGATGTTAAAGCTTTCAAATGTTCACTCTGCTCCGCTGAACTCTAAGGACGTCTCTAAACGAAACGGAGACTCGCGTACAATTCAAATTCCATCATATTATTATCTGTTATATAATTAATAATAATTTATAATATTATAAATAATAATACCTTATTAGAATTATTAGTTGTGATTGGTACATTCAGTTTCAAATGTGAATATGTGAATGGTCACGAGACTTTAATTTAACCTTATTGTTCAATCTCTAGGATAGGAGATAATTGTTTTTATTAGTCTTTATTCAATCTGTACGATTAGAGATTATTGTTGATTTAAGTTCATTGTTCAGTTCCGATGTAAGGCGATTATTATTGTTATCAGGCTCTCGTTTAATCTTTAAGGATTGAAGATTTTTTTAATACAAGATCATTGTTCAATCGCTATGAATGGCTATTATTTCTGTTATAATGATTAGGTTCAATCTCTATGAGTGGTAATTACCCTATTGTTGATATAAGATCACTATTAAATCTTTGCGATTAGAGATTGCTGGTGTTACTAGGCTTTTGTTTCATCTCTGCTATTAGAGATTAGGTATAGTTGATATAAGATTATTCTTCAATCTCTACGGCTCAAGATTACTGTTGCTATAAGATTATTGTTCAATCTCTACGGCCGTAAATTATTCCTGATATTAGATCATTGTTATATCTCTACGACCGAAGATTATTGTTCAATCTCTACGACTTAAGATTACTGTTACTATAAGATTATAAGATTATTATTATATATTTATTATATTATTATTAATTATTATTATATTACTATATTTAATGTGACCCCCAGACCGGTACGTGGTTCTGGGCAACCACCGCGACGCGTGGATTTTCGGCGCCATTGACCCGTCCTCAGGCACGGCCGCCATGATGGAGCTGTCCAGGGTCCTCATGGCCGCCACCACGCAAATTGGTAAGCAGCGCCTGCCGTAGCATAATTGCAATTGTTTTAGTAAAGAAATTGAAAAGACAATTCAACATATTTTCAGTGCAGCGCAAAACTTGCGATAAATAATTTTTTTTAGTAAAGTAAGTGCTGAAAAAATGAAACATATTTTTAATGCAGTGTAAAACTTTCAATAATTAATTTTTTTAGTAAAGTACCGGTAAGTGCTGAAAAAATTAAACATGTTTTTAATGCAGCGCAAAATTTATTAATAATTAATTTTTTTAAGTAAAGAAAGTGCTGAAAAAGTTAAAGATGTTTTTAATGCAGCGCAAAATTTACAATAATTATTTTTTTTTAGGAAAGTAAGTGCTGAAAAATTTATAGATATTTTTAATGTTGTGCACCTCTGCGTGATGACGATGCTGGTGAGTTTCTTTATTTTAGTATTTGTGAACGTCGTTCTTGAACAAATTGATTGTTAAATTATTGACCTGCTTATGAGGCATGGATAAAGGCAACTCAAAACACGCCGATTGTTCGACCTCTTGCAGTCATATAGACTTGGTTGGAGTTTATACCGTTTGTCCCTATTATAGAATACTTTCAAAGGTTTTGTTTGTGTATTTTTATTGAAACCAATGAGGGTGTGTCATTGCAATTGAGATTTACCGAACTTAGCTGCATTGTGTAGGAAGAGTTACTGCGCAATGGTAGCAAAAGAGTTATAATATTTTTTTCCGTTGGTTTTATTGAATTCATTAAGGCTTACCTACGGTGACACGTTATTTAATAATCTCTGAGTACACTATAATTGCTCTACTATTGCCATATGTTTTGTGATATCTCGTGCGTTGATATGATATCAAATATTACAAAAAACATATTTCGCAGAATATTGCGAAACTAGATCGAAGAGGTTTAACTGAAGCATTTATCGTTGCATGTGATGTTTTGCGCAATCATGATTTCGAGGCACGTTACTCATTGAAGGAACTAAGGAAAGAATGAAAGTGTTCACAACAACAAAGTAAGCAATCGATAAATGATGAAACTGCGTATTATATAAATTTATGTTTTAGAAACTGTATTTATATCAGAATGAGTTATTAAGTAAACTCTAAATTAGTTCAGCGAAAAAAATTAACTCGCCGCCGGTTAATCAGACTGAGAACTTCCTGACGCCTACGGGTAATTGTACAACCTCCTCCAATTGAAGTGAATTTCTCACTTTCATCCATAAAATACCCAGTCGAAACATGTCTGTTTTTGTTCTCATTGTGATTCGTTCCAGGCAACTATACACTGAGAACAAAATCCGCACCACTGCTCTACGACGTCGTCTACAACGCCTCGAAACAGGTAACTCAAACAAATGTAAACAACGCGAAACTTAATCTAAAATTTACCTCCTGCAACGTTTATTTGGTTTACTCCATTAGCTTTAAACAGAAGTTTCTGGACACTCGAACCTTGGATACTATAATTCAACAATTGAGGAAATAAATATTCAAAGATGGCCGAGTGCATGAGTTTAACAAGATTGCAGCAGTAAATTGGGGGTTTGAAATGGCAACTAGTTGTGAAATTTTTTTGTCGAAATCGGCAAGGTGCTCGGATGGTCGAGAATCAGCGACATGCCAACATGGCCTAATGAAAGCTGTCACTACTATTATTATACTATATTATATTATGTTCCATCATAGTATGTAATTTTACATCCTTATATCATTTTCTTTTTATTATTTTAGACATATAAGTTCACTGTCTCTCCAGGTCCCCAACCCCGACCCTGCTGAGGTAGCAGCGGGGCGTCCCACCGTGTACGACACTTGGCTCCTGCGCCGCCCTGACGCGCAGCACCCTGGCCTGCCTCGGTCTGACTCGACATTTAATAAAGTTATACCATTACTCTATGGCTAACTTGAGTACTTCATGTTATTACAATAATTTATTTATAACATACTACTCGTGAGATCATCCACGAAGTCTCGACTTATTTTAATTTTGAATTATACTGATTCACTTAGTTCGCTGTCGAATTAACGTTTAGCTACAACGTAACGATTGTTTCAAATTATTCAATTGTTTTATAATTATTCAATATTTCAACATGAAATTATAGCAGTTGTGTTAAATGTGCGTTAAATTGAGCTCAATGTCTGTTGATCGGACGGTCGAAAATTAATAGAATACCTCATAAGTTATCATGGCATTATTTTCACCTAAAATTTACGAAATTGATTAGTAGATTTCCAGTGAATTCCGCGAAATTCTTATAGTCCCCTCGAGGAAAAAATTCTCTGTAGGTTATTCTGACGAGTTTGTAAACATTTTTATTGAAGTCGAAAAATTAAGAGTTATTTTTAGATACCTATAGCAAATTTTAAGTTATTATTTAGGTATTAAAGAAAATTCTTACCTTGTAACATGTTGAAAAATTAAGAAATATTTTCTAGGATGCAGTCCATCGGCAGCGGCAGCGACTACACCGGCTTCCAGCACCGCATAGGCGTGCCCTGCCTCGACATCCGCTACACTCACGACGATGTCATTCAAAATTATACAAACTATATATAAATATAATTAATATTGGCACTGGGGTGCTCAGGCTACACATACAAACTATATTTAATTAATATCGACATCCGCTACACTCATGACGATGTCATTGCAATTATGCAAACTATATATTAATTAATATTGGCACTTAAGTGCCAACATACAAACTATATTTAATTAATATCGACATCCGCTACACTCACGACGATGTCATTTGAAATTATACAAACTATATATAAATATAATTAATATTGGCATGGTTTGGTGATATTTGTTTCTCTATACAAGTTGGATTGAAGCTCAGAGAGTAGAATTGATTATGTGGAATCATTACTGAAATAATAAATACCAAACATTTTGGATTATTCATGGGCCAGTTACTGCTTATATTCATTTCATTGTATTACTCATGAGTTCCATTGTTTAAATTATTATTAGTACACTCTTCTGTCATCTCACTTTAAATGATATATTTAAGATCCCCATGTCACCGTGCACTTCCTTTTTTAATGTAAATTATTTGCAATGGTTTTGCGTAATTAACAAATAAGCTATCATGTGAGCCATTATTATTTTCAAGTATTTAGAACTGGTATAACCCACTATTGAAATAATCCAATAATTTAAAACTTCATTTCGAGTTGTTTTGATTAAAATGTGCGTCGTTATTTGCTACCTTGACTCTTCCAATATGATATCGATGAGAATTTCAGTTGTTCCGTATTTTTTATAGGAATTTTTAACGCATCGAGTTGGAAACTTTTTTCTTTTAAACTTTCATTTAAACTATAAAGAGTACCTAATTATGCAAAATAACGGGCATTAGAGTTAGAATATATAATTTATATTATATTGAGGTCTATAACGCGCATAAAGCGCTAGAATTATGCCTGTTGTGACAATGGTGTGTGAGAATTTTCGTGTCTAAATTTTTGTGTATTGTTTCTATTTTTAGAATTGTGTGCAGAATCGCGATCATTGCAGCACTTGCAAAAAATATTGTTCGTTGATGTAAACTAAAACATCGCATACTTGTATCAGTAATCTAGAAGAAATCAACCGACCATAATGTGTCTTTTTAAATTATTATATAATTTATAAATTATAAATCAACAAGCCATAACCATAGTGTATCTTTGAATCATTCACGAATTGCTTGCTCTAATGAATTAACTAGAAAATAAATCAAGAATTTATAAAAATAAGGCCAATCAAATTCACTATACCTTCAATGAAAACGTTTCGGCAACCAGCTCAATTATCAGTTCAAAAAATTTATAGAACGCAAACGTTCGGAAACGTTTTCACTGAAGATATGGTTAATCTGCTTGGCGTTTTCTTTGCTGTTAAAAAATCAATACGACGTAATTTTTCTCCAGGAAACCCTAGGCGAGCCCCTCTACCACACTCTGTACGAGACGTTTGCTTTGGTCGACGAGCTCTACGACCAAGGCTTCAATTTCCACGCCGCCATGACGGACCTCTGGGGGCAGATCAGCGTTGTTCTCTCTGATGCGCTTGTAAGTAAATATGTTCTCACAGCAACTTCAGTATTCGGCAACGTCAGTGGGAGTTTTAGGCCAGGAATAATCTTCGTATTGCATAATATTTTGAATTTGCATCAACATGAGTATGTATTAATCTTCACCGTATCAGTAAAATTGTTTATCCATCTGATATCAGGAACGATTATAAACATTTATTTCGAGTCCCAGTTCGTAAATTGGAGCATGGAAGATGATGGAACTTATAATTTTGATAAAAATACTACCTGTGCATTTCCAGTGGCAGCATTCAGTTTAATTATAAAATATACATTTCTCAGGTTCTGCCCATGTCCCTTGAGGCGTACGCTTCATACATTAGCGACGCGCAAGCCGACATTGTGACGCAGTTTGGACAGATGGTCACAGACAGGAACCTAACTTTCCGTGAGTCTTCACTAAATTCAACTGGATCGGAAAGTATACATTTTAATGATACATCAGTTAAGAAGGAATTGTAATTTTATTTATAAATTCGATTATCCTTAACATTGATGCAGAGGCAGATCGAATTTTACAGTAGCTGTGACTTAAAGTGTTGCGTTGCCGACCAAGTTGTTGTTGTTGCCGACCGACTGCTGAATATTCCTCCTGTGCAGAAATCAAAATAACGGAATATGTTACTAACCCATTTCTCCTATGGTTAGAAGTGCAAGTTACTGAAGCTCATGCAGATTCTCTGTGATGGTTCTACTGTGTATTAATATTTTGACAAAGCTCTTAGTATAAAAAATTTTCATAACCGATCGGATTTCCCGACTGCTATTTACACCAGAAATGTTTAGTTTATATTGAAATATTTTTCCCGTATAAACTGCCTTGTGCAATTGTTGTCAGTAAAGAGTAATGTTAAAATCTTTGATTCTCAGAATATTTCTTGGATGCCGGATCAGCTTTCAACCGCAGCGTCTACGAATTCGAGGAGACACTTGCCCTCCTCGATACCAGCAAGTGAGTACATTAAAGAAGTGAAATTATCTTGTAGAATTACTTTTCCCAACAGGATATCACCTCAGCCTATTCAGTGTTTGAATTAATTTCCTGCCATTCATTTAGTGAACTGCCGAAAAATCTGTAAATACTCACGTTGAGTATGAAGCTTTTAAAGTTAATATATGTTTTCATGTTCTTTGTGCATGTGTTTCGTATTTTATACAAGAGTTGGCCGTCATAGTTACGACGGAAGATTATGTTAGAACGCCCACTTTACGACCGGTATATTTCTCGTTATACTTGTATTGAGTTGTTCAACAACAACCCCTATGTCTGCCGACAGCAATTCAACTTGCCTTCAGATACGAATAGCATTAACAACAGTTATGGTGTCAGTAGACACAATTAAGCCTATTAATTAATTAAGTTGTCTCGTACCCACAGCGCCATGTCGGTACGAGCAGCGAACGACCGCATGATGCTCGTGGAGCGCGCCTTCATTGACCCACGAGGTCTACCCGGGCGGCCTGAATACAAGTGAGTCTAATAAACGTTTTAATATGAGAAAAGAATTGCTTTGATATTACAATGTTGAGAGACAGTATCATCAAATAAATTATTCCCAGATCTTTAATCAATTAATACTCGAATATTCCAATAAAAAAACAACTTTAGTGAACATTTATTAACATTAAATTCATATTAGTATCTTCTTATGCCGATCAAGGTGCAGCGTCCCAAGGTTCCTAATGGGCCAGTGTCTGTTGTGGAATTTTCTCTTGTTGTTTGAAAGGGGTTACGTGTCAGACTAGCGAAATAGAGATTAAGCCTAAAACAAGCCACGACTATAACTGAAATTGTTAGATTTGAAAATACCTACAGTTTTCCGATAAGCATCAACATTCTTGCAAACTGTACGTAGCATCTGGTTTCACACAGCAGTGTTATGCAGTGATATCTTAAGGTAGTCTGCCGTGTTGCGAGCAAGATTTACACTTGATTACATTATTATTTTGTATAAGTCAAATTAAATTGTACATGTATCTATCGTTAGTGACCAAATTATCGTAAGCGAACATATAGGGCCCGCTTAGACTTGTAGAGTCAAGTATTGTTGTTATAAAAGTTTTTTGTTGGAACTTCCTCCGCATACCATAATTACGGGATAAATAATTCAAACGATCATTTGTGCTCAATTTTGACAGCAAATATTTTAGCTCACGTAACTGAATTCGCAAAACTTGCTTGGTTATCACACGTATGAGGACGGGCTATACAAAGGAACTTTATACGTTAACTAATGTAATTATTACAGCCACGTGGTCTTCGCCCCGAGCTCGAACGACGCTTACGCAGGCACGGCGTTCGCAGGTCTCACCGACGCTCTGAATTTCATCGCCCAAAACCCCGACGACCCAAACGTGGACAGCACCTGGCGGGAGTTCCAGGAGCATATGAACAATAACAGAGCAGCACGCGGTATCAGATTGTGAGGTAGAGTTACGGTATTGGCAGGATGCCTTTCATTTCCCTTCCCCGATTCTCATGTGAAACAGGCCACAGGCCACGGGCCTATATCTTTAGCACCGACACAATATAGTAAAGCCGATATAGGATGCAGACCGCCTTTGGCACTGGCGCTTTTCGCGTATCCCTTCTTCCCAAGTTTGTGATGCTGGAGCTAATTCCATCTCGCTTGCCGTTTAAAGCCTTCGTCTTCATGATGGATTTTTATCCTATTAATATGCGACGATCGGGGGCTTGCGCAGTATAAAATGCGAATAACTTTCCAAATCTATGAAATTTTTGATGATACGAGAAGATCAAGCTTTACACGATAGTGTGGTGTATTTAGCTATGTATCGCGTCGCACACTTGCAGTAAAGAATGTAATATAACCATGAAACCAGAACAGGACGAAAGTCTCAGCCTCTTAAATATTTATTTTTATGGTAAAGATATCATTACAATAAGAACAGGTTACCCACAAGAAAGACATCTTAATAGACATATCGCAGCCATTATAAATATAGAAAATCAATATAGATGATCAGATATAGAGCATATACTAGAAAATCAAAGAATTTTATTGCCATCGGAGAACATTGAAAGTTTAACAAAACACAAGGAAAATAATGTTTGCTCAAGTTTCCGAGATTTTGATAAACCCAAACGTATGTGATCGGTGCGATATTCCCGCTAAGAACGAGCGATTCCCTAGCTATTAAGAAAAACAAACTGAATAAATAATTAGAATTTTAGTATTATCTAAAATTCTAGGGTAGAACTACGAAACCCGATCAGACACGTGAAAAGTGAACCTATAATTGATGGTCAATTAAGTATGAAATCTCAATATCGTAACATTCAATTTCGTAAATGATGAAAAACATAATTTTGCATTAAAAAATATAAATGAATAAATTGGCTGCAACAGTAATTGTTAATTACGTACAAAACAAGTGTCTGATGTAATTATGTAATGAAATGAGACACAAAGAAAGATGAAATAATTTGTACAAAAGATCGAGCCTCGAGATTCTTCGGCAAAGATTCACACAAAACTGGAGAGCCCACCCATGTTAGGAGCATGCAAATTTCAATAACTCTCACGAATAAAATAGGTTCATTTAAATGTAAAATTACTACAACGAGTTATGGACGAAGTATCATATACATTTAAGATATTCATATTACCATCTAATTTCTTCTTATACTATGGACGGAATATTGACGATAGTTCTAATTGAGACTTCATTGTACTTTAGGACGGTAAGCATACACTGGACGGAATGTGGTCGCGAGATATATCTTAAGTTTCTTACATCGAACTACCAGTTGGCCTAATTCAATGGTGCTACTTGAAATATGTGCCAGTAATACAGAAAATCAGAATACTACAGTAAAACAGCACCAGCTCATAACATTATCAGAGCAATTTTAATAAAAGATCAATGCAATGATAGAGATATTTATTTTTCCTACCTTTTCTAGTTCTATTTTCTTAGAATCGTCACTATTGCACCGTAACAAACATTATGGTTTAAATATAAATAATATAATCATTGAGTTCAGAGTAAGTTAATACTTGAAACTGAACGTCAAAAGGCAGTAGCAACGTCAGCTGAAAATCGCCACTCGTTTCGAACGCGACTTTAAGATAGAAATTCCCCGACATCAGACAAGTTTCCCGAGCAGTTATAGCGGTAAATTTCTGTTCGATCAGTTAATAATACTTCTCTTAACGATTTTGCGTCAGAACAGGAAATATCTTTGGAGGTAAGTCAAAATAATTTCCCGTGGCATGCTACTTCAATTTAAGTTTGTGATGAAAAAAATACCTAACATTTGAAATGATTTCAGATTGCTTTATCTAGTTTCCCGGAGTTTCCATTTACGAAAAATATAGATACAGAACACTCCAGCAAAAATTTTGTTAAAATCAAAGCAAAATGAATGTAAATCTACTGCCATCTGAAATGAGAATTGAAACCTATTAGAAAAAATTGTCTGCTGATAAGGTTCAACAAAAGATTTCCGTCTGATCAGTTTGTCTGATGACATATTTGTGCAGCTAAATGCCTGCAACTGATCAGAATATCAGGCCCGAATCATCCGCATGACACCAACGAGAATAACGCCAGCAGCAACTGTAGCCATGGAAGACATGAGCGAGGATGACGTATTGCAACGTTCGTCAAAAGTGCAGAAGCAGAACGTCACGTTCGAGTAATGCGTTCTGTAAACGAAAAACTACTTTAGTATAACACAGATCATAATGCTTTACATCACACAGTCGTGGGTGTTCCCCATGAACATGAGCAAAAGATAAGATTTTGTTCTAGAACTAATCTTGACTATTTTTTTTTTTTTCATACTATATACATTTTGTTGTTGGACATCTCAACTAGTAAACTCAAGTCAAATCAAGATGTATAATACGATACCGTAGATTGCTGAAATGATGAGCATATGAACTAAAACATTAGTTTATTACAACATATCAGGCTGGCAATTGTACTATTGAGTACTTGAACATTGAATAAGGAAATTCACCTGGTGTGGTCAATTTCAGGCACAGATGGGAAGATGTAATTTCCAAGCTGAACATCTTGAGCAGCTGGTCTGCAGCCTTCATACCTGGAATGATGAATATTTAAAGAAGGTTTGGAAAGCTTTTTAACCTAAGAAGAAAACAGTTATGCATAATTAAATTGATAATATTACATACCGTAATGCAATCCATATTCACATAACGTATTCTCATCTCATTTTGCTTACAAGTGACGAAGCTCCAGTGACAAAAATGTCTAAAAAAGCAACAAGAACCAAAATGACATGGAATCTTTTGCAACTTGTCAAGAATTGTAGCTACTGAAAAGACTGTTAGTGAGATATAATAAACTGCATCCATCAGGTCAGTTTGTTGGGCGAGACATTTTTACACAGCATTTGTCAGAGCCATTGCCATAAGAATATGATGATACAAACTTAGTCTTCATCTTGATCTACACAACTGAATGGCATACAATACTCTAGTTACTGCCCACCGATCATTTGGGATGTCCCTCCTGTGACCCTCCAGAGAACTTAGGCAATCACGAGTCACCATCACTTCACCTGGAAATAAGTAATAGAACTGAAAGCTTGAATCGTGTAACCTTACTAGGAACACAAGCAATTATATGTGACCATCATCTAACCTTAAATAAAATTATCAACACATTAAGTGCGGAATAGCCAACGTACCATCGGTGTGAAATACGCACTGAATACAACATAGCCGTACTTAACGTGTTAAAGGCTACATAATTATATGCATGAAACTGTATGGTACCTACCAGTGGCATTCATGTTATTGCAAGTGAAATAATTCAGAGTTGTAACCCAGATTTCTTGAGGCTGTGAATTATTTTGAGAGCAGAAAGTGATTTTAAACTGTAAATATCAATTCAAAAGGCTGTTAATGGTACACAAACTAAGATTCATGGGATATTTTTTGGTATTTGTGGGCATGCTCAAAACATTACCTTCTTGATAACAATCACCATTGTTCAAACAATGTCAGTTCTTGTGGACCTCGACTAAGAATTCAAAATGCAGTCATGATAATTTTCACATTTATTGTTACCTTGAATGCTAGATAGTTGATTTTATTCTGTGATAATGTAATTAAATAGTATCACTTTACTCTAGATCCTTTGGACATGAAAAATCCAGAAAACAAAAATGCATCATTCCTCCCAACCCTCAAAACCACACAAACCTTGTAATTGGCAGAATACTTTAATCGGTACCTACAGTTGTAACTGGTCAGTTTAATAAAATGTATTTCGTAGCAATAATCATGTATACAAGTATATACTTACTGCCAATCTGTTCAACAACTTTGACGCAGACATCATTTGCATCTTGACAGCTAGAACTCCAGTAAAATCTCCAGTCAAAATCCTCCATCCCGCACCCTGGGTGTGAGCCAACGCACTGGTAGCACCAAATGGCTGACACTGCAAGAATAATAAATGTTAAAGTAGTCTTTGCAAAAGATGACTGAAAATAATTAAAGTACGGTAAATGTTCTTGTGCAAATTAGTCTTCAGCAATTGTCAATAAGTAACTACATTTCATTTGTTTTAAAGGCTTCAACAGAAACAAATGAATTTGTCTGAGGGAGATCCAAGTTTAAAGTCACTAGTGGTCAATAGTTGAGAAACAAATTTAAATGCCTGATTCAGGGACAAATTTATAGATAGTACATTTTGTTGGCACTGCACAAATAATTGGCTGCCAGAATCTCATGCTTAAGTAACATGAAATATTATTTAATGGATATGCTGACAAAAAAGATCACACTGTGAAAAATCACATCACAAACATTATATAGATTACATATACACTAATGGTATATTTTCACATAGAATTTCAAACACTCATGAATTTATATATATATGTTTTTCAAAATATTTTTTTATAGTAAATTCACTTAACCCAATTAAAATGGTGAGAAATTACAAGCCATCCTGTAAGCTTACAGATACAGAAAAAATGCTACAAGGCTGCTGATATGAAGCTTGCAGTGGACAAGGTTGTTGTAAATGCTCGATGGCATTATCATGGATACCTACGGTAATATCGCATCAATAATATGGTAATTATTGTATATGGTAATATCGTATCAATGAAGGAGAAACATGTAAAAATCACAGAAAAATTCATTCATTCTACCTCTTCATCATCTAAAATGAAAGAGAAGGACTTCAGAGTACTGTTAGTAATGGATGAGTACACTCTACGTGCTTCAAACGTTTTAAAATTAAGTTTTATTCCAAGTGTCCCGAGTAGCCCCGGTTGACAGTATTTATATATATATATAATGGATATTCCAACAAAAAATATCACACTGTGAAAAATCACATCACAAACATTATATAGATTACATATACACTAATGGTATATTTTCACAAAGGATTTCAAACACTCATGAATTTAGTACTTTGAGGATTAATACCATAAAATATTGAATTTTTAATAAACAGTACCATCACATGGGATAATAAGGGATGGGCAGTGTAAATCGGGACAGTCATCCCACATTTCGTAGAAATGTTGTTGCAGCTAAACTAACCAAAATATTGCAAAAGTAAAAATAGGTAGTGGCGTAAAGTTCAACATTTTTACTACGGTATCTACGTAGCATAGAGAAAGTTAGGAAATCATACATTTTCTACCTCTAAAAAAGCCCTGAAAAAGTGTGAAAAGTGAGATTTTGGAAACGTATCTTGGCTAAGGTCTGTAGCAAAAAATATTCGCATCAAAAAATTTTACTTACATAAAAGTTGCACACAGGTGTTGGCTTAAAAGCATGATTGACTGAATTTGCATATCTGGTTAAAAAAAATGGCAGCCATTTTCACAAGATGGGGTAATAAGGGACACCTCCCAGGGTACGTAGTAAGGGACAGCCCCAAAAACTCATTTACAGTAGAACCTCAATTAGCAAAGGCTCCAATTGACAAAAAAAAAAAAAAAAAAACATTAAAAACAAAAAATTTTGGATTATATTTACCCTGTCTCTTATACACATCTAATATTCATANCTCTACATCATCTACAATGAAAGAGGAGGACTTCAGAGTACTGTTAGTAATGGATGAGTACGCTCTGCATGCTTCAAATGTTTTGAAATGAAGTTTTATTCCCATTGTCCCGAGTAGCCCCGACTGACGGGGCTACTCGGGACAATCTTTATTTTGCGTCTGGCACCTTACCAATAGCATATGGAATTTTTTTGACAATGCCATTCGATAGCCCTTGCAAAGAGCTATAAAATGAGCCTAAACTTGTTTATGAAATGTTTCATCATAAGAAGTTATTAACAAAAAACACTCAAAATCGTCCCGAATTACCCCGGTTGACGGTACTCATCTATTACTAACAGTACCCTCAACCGGGGCTACTCGGGACAAGCGGGGCTAATCGGGACAGGCCTCCAACACGTCGTAAAACTGTTGTAGTAGCGAAACTAATTGGAATATTGCAAAACTAAAAATAGTGGCATAAATGTCAACATTTTTCCTATCTATGTAGTATGAAGGAAGTTGAAAAATACTACATTTACTTGCTTTGAAAAATTCCTGAACAAAATGGCAAAAAACTATATTTTGTAAAGTTACAACTGCTAGGGTATGTAGCAAAAAAATATTTGCCGTATTAAAAAATTTTACTTACATAAAAGTTGCACCCAGGTGGCTTGAGTACGTAATTGACAGAATTTGCCTATCTCATTCCAAAAAGAAATGGCAGCCATTTCTGCACAGCGGGGCTACTTGGGACACCCCCCCGGGGCTATTCGGGACACCCCCAAAAACGCATTTACGGTAGAACCTCAGTTAGCAAAGGCTCCAGTTAAGAAAAAAATTGAATAAAAACAAAGAATATTGATTACATTTACCTGGCTGAGGGAAAAAAAGTTCACTTTTTGTCACACAAATCACAAGCCGTCCTGTAAGCTTACAGATACAGAAAAAAATGCTATAAGGCTGCTGATATGAAGCTTGCAGTGAACAAGGTTGTTGTAAATGCTAAATGGCATGTTCATGGATACAGTAATATCACATCAACAATACAGTAATATCCCATCAATAATAGGGTACCATCAACTGGGGGATTCAGCCAGGTTCATAATGATGGCCAAGCAGGGTCATAAAGGGTCATAAACAATGGCCAAAGTCACTCAGGCGTTTATGACCTGGTTTACAACCCTGGCGTTTATGACCCTGGCGTTTAAGACCCTGCCTTTAGGACCCCAGCATGAATAAAAAACTAGGCTGAAGTCACCCCAGTTGATGGTAATTAATGTTTATGGTAATATATCAATGAAGGAAAAACAAGTAAAAATCACAGAAAATGTCATTTATTCTACCTCTACATCATCTACAATGAAAGAGGAGGGCTTCAGAGTACCTACTGTTAGTAATGGATGAGTACCTATGCTCTGCATGCTTTAAATGTTTTGAAATGAAGTTTTATTCCCATTGTCCCCAGTAGCCCTGACCAGGACAATCTTCATTTTGCATCTGGCTACTTAGGAATAGCATATGGAATTTTTTTGACAATGCCATTTGATAGCCCTTGCAAAGAGCTATAAAATGAGCCTAAATTTGTTTATGAAATGTTTCATTGTAAGAAGTTATTAACAGTTATTGACAAAAAAAAAAAAAACGATCAAATCTGTCCCAAGTAGCCCTGGTTGACAGTAATCTGAAATCCTCCTTTTCCTTTGTAAATGATTTAGATGTAGAATAAATTACATTTTCTTTTACTTTTCCTTCATTGATATGATATTACCATATCCATACATTACTGTATTATTGATGTAATATTACCATATCCATGAAAATGCCATTGAGCATTTACAAGAACCTTGTCCACTAAAAGCTTCATATCAGCAGCCATATAGCACTTTTCTGTATCTGTAAGCTTACAAGAGAGCTTTTAATTTCACCCCATTTTAATAGGGTCAACTGAATTCACTATAACAAAAAAAAAAAAAAAAGATCGTATAAACATACCTTAAACAGGAATGAATATTCTAGTGACAACCAGAATATTTTTAGGAGATATAAAATCATAGTTTAGGTTAAATACTTTTCATTTATGTTGCCAGGTGCACAATTCTATCTAGTATGACATTCTCTGCACAATTTTATGATGACCAATGACACAATAATTTTTTATTAAGTAAAATTTTTTGCTGAGTGAGATAAATATAACAAAAATTTTTTGTTGTTAATTGATTTTTTTCATTAACTGGAGTCTTTGCTAATTGAGGTTCTATTGTAAATGCATTTTTAAGTGTGTCCTCTATTACACTGGGACTATGGTCAGGAAGATGTGCCAGGTGCATGGGAATTTATATTGTCATTTTATCAACCTGCATGGTGCGCTGTACTATACAGTATACCAGTAAAAAATACGGCCTGTGCGCCATACTCCAAAAAGGCTAAAATAGTTGGAATATGGACATGCGGCAATGTAATCACACACAGTACACACGAATGCATATCTGCATTGTGTTGCAGTTGGATATGAGTTTACTAGATTGCAAATGCGTCAACTCAGGTTTTAAGAGTCAGCACAGTTATACATATTCATTGAACACAATTCAGGCGGACTTGTATTCCTACAGAACTAAAGAAGGTGACATGGCTTGACATTTGCCATCGGTGCCTTCTAATGACTGACTGGTTGGTGGTTGCACTGCCACTGTGCAGAGAGTGGATGAATATTGCAAGATCTTTGGCGACGCTTCAGTAGCAAAATTTATGCCTTCAAAAGATCTTGCCAACACATTTAGATTGAAATTCTTGCATTTAATGTATTTGTCAGTCCTTGGCCAACTATTTAAAAAAAAAGTAAGGTTTCTGATATGTTGGATGGATCAGGATGCAGTGAAGCTTGTCCGGAAATCAGTTGCGATGAGTTCCCGCCAAAAAATGTAAACATCAAGCTTACGATTACGTTGTTGCGGTCACATTAGAGCGGTCAGACCGTCAGACTGCATTATCACATGTTCAGTTGACACTTGCTGCACAATCAAACTACTTTTAGGGTAAAATTAGTTATTTGGGGTAACACGTGCATGCAACCTTGTAAATAAGTTCGTGGCTTGTAAATAGTTTTTCATTACTCAGCGTAAATGGTTTTTCATTAAAAATTACCTGGCGACGCATCTTGAAATTACCCGGCGACGCTTAGGGCTTAAAAACCCATATATTGGCGACGCTGCATCCACCCTCTGCGCCCTGGGGTTGCAGCAGGTAGGGTATGAAGGAACCTGTATGTCAAATTGTCAATAGTACAAACCTGTATGTGAACATCGGGACTACATTCCCAATCTCCTCCCAGCCGGCAAAATAGACAATCCCTAATAGCAACGCGCATAAATTGACTGTATAAATCAAGTCAATACTGTGAATACATCATAATTACAGAGCATACATTTCTATGCTACATTTCTATTTCTGCTACATTTCTATGAAATGTGGGATGACTGTCCCAATTTACCCTGCCCGCAGGATGGAATTCTA